AACTATATTGCCAAGGAACTTGTTGGGAAGATCCAGCTGTTGGATCCGACGAAGTGGTAAGGCTAAAACCGGAAGTAGTATTACCGGACCCGAAAGCCATAGCGGATGGACCGCCAGTGAACTGCTGAACCATGGCACGGAAGTTGGATGTGTCGGTGTTGAGAAGTGTTGTTGGTGTTCTACGTGAGGCTCTTGATCTTTTACGTGCTGGTTTGGTTACACGACCGGTTTCAGGACTCAGACGAGAGTCCATGGAGGTGGCTTCACCGGAGGGAGAAGCGGTTGTGGTGGTTGTGACGGCGGTTGAAGTGATGGTGGAAGTTGTGAAGTAAGTTTGGTTGTTGTTGTAGAACTGATCAGACCATTCGTTTGGGTTAGCCATTTTGTGTTTGTGTCTGAAGACTCTTGAGGTTTTGTAAGAAAGAAGAAAAGCATTTGCCTTCGTTAGTTGTTTATTTATTTGGGTTTTAGTGATTCGACTTGGTCAAAAGGAAGACTATTCTATATCAATCATGACCGTTGATTTTTGGAAACGTAAGTTGCATTTCTTTCCAAGTTGAAAAAAACAAACGTTTTTAAACTTACTTTGTTAGGGAAAATTCCTTAAAAATACACCAACTGAGTTTCTTTTGCTAAAAAAATACACCAACTTTTTAGACTTTCCGAAAAATACACAGAGTAATTTTGGTTGTCCACAAAATACATGAACTTTTGAATTTTGAAGTTTTCACACCTCGATTTTAACGGCGTTAACTCTGATTAACAGAACATTTAGACGCCGTTAGACGATGTTAACTCTAATTCAAAAGTTCATATATTTTGTGGACAACCAAAATTAGTCTGTGTATTTTTCGGGAAACTAAATAAGTTCGTGTATTTTTTCAGCAAAAAAAATTTAGTATGTATATTTTTAAGGAATTTTCAGAAATATACTAAGGTGGAAAAGACATTGACTTTTTTTTGTTTGACTGAAAAATATAATTTTTGAATATATTTATTCATATCGAGGACGGTTTTTCTAGGGTGAGTTTGGATCTATAATTAAAATGCGTGTAAAATACCAGTAATTTTTGGATATATATCATGTAATAGAGAATGTGTTTTTGTTTGGGTCTTTGGGTCGGGTTTGGGCCGGTTCTTTTCGGATCTAAGATATCCGGATCTAAGAACCGGCCCAAACCCGACCTAAAGATCTGAACAAAAACAAATTCTCTTCCACATGATACATATCCAAAAATTACCAGTATTTTCCACGTATTTTAATTATAGATCTGAAATGATCCTAGAAAAACTGGTCTCAATATGAACAAAATATAAAGAAGCTAAAAAACACATTATTCATATTAATACACACATTGTTCAAAATATATTAAAATACGTGAGTATTAATATGAAAATGTGTTTTTTTGGCTTCTTTATATTTTGTTTATTTTGTTCATATTGAGGCCGGTCTTTATAGGATCAGTTCGGATCTATAGTTAAAATACGTGAAAAATACCGGTAATTTTTGGATATATATCATGTGGAAGAAAATGTGTTTTTGTTCAGTTCTTTGAGTCCAGTTTGGGCCGGTTCTTAGATCCGGATATCTTAGATCCGAAAAGAACCGGCCCAAACCCGACCCAAACAAAAACACATTCTCTATTACATGATACATATCCGAAATTATTGGTATTTNTTAGATCCGGATATCTTAGATCCGAAAAGAACCGGCCCAAACCCGACCCAAACAAAAACACATTCTCTATTACATGATACATATCCGAAATTATTGGTATTTTACACGTATTTTAAATATAGATCCAAACTGACCCTAGAAAAATCGGCCTCAATATGAACAAAATATATTCAAAAATTACATTTTTCATTTAAACAAAAAAAATCAATGTCTTTGCCACCTTAGTATATTTTTGAAAATTCCTTAAAAATACACATACTAAATTTTCTTTGCTGAAAAAATACACGAACTTTTTTGGTTTTCCGAAAAATACACAGACTAATTTTAGTTGTCCACAAAATACATGAACTTTTGAATCAGAGTTAACGTCGTCTAACGGCGTCTAAATGTTCTGTTAATCAGAGTTGACGCCGTTAAAATCGAGGTGTGAAACCTTCAAAATTCAAAAGTTCATGTATTTTGTAGACAACCAAAATTACTCTGTGTATTTTTCGGGAAGTCTAAAAAGTTCATGTATTTTTTTAGCAAAAGAAACTCAATTGGTGTATTTTTAAGGAATTTTCCCACTTTGTTAATATGATTTAATCTGATTCTTCGTGATATTATCATGATTTAGCCATTTAGGAAAGAATAATAAAATAATGGACCACACGAAGTTACAAGTTGACGAAATTTGCCCATTTAGCTGCGTTATTCTTTTGTTAACATAGTAAATAAGTCCCTCACTTTACATAATCGTCACTAAGCTGACGACATATTTCCTCTGTGATCTTATCTTCCTAACCAAAACGTTAATATATTCATATTACGTTGCCTGCTTAGTGAAGTAGCCGTTCATATGTAGCACTAATAAGTTAATAATGATGAGATTTGTTATATATATACTAGTAGTAGTACTAGTACATGCATGCATATCAATTTTAAATGATCTTAATACTAAGTTATATAATAGGTGCGCAAATAGAATATAAACACCGACAATATAAGAAAGCCCATAGGCTGTTTTAATCAGCGAAAACGATTAGTCAATTACCCATTAAAAACATTTACAAAAACAAATACTTTTCGTATACGATACTTATAACAACATTTTAAGGTCATCAACAGCAGAAATCAATTCAAGATTTCCACTCCCCCAAAATTCAAGAACATGCAGCTAATTAAGAATGAGTAATTTAACCATTATGTATAGGAAACTGTCTGTATTACTAAACTTCGTAAGAAGTTTCAGGATATGTCCTAGTTTGTTAGCTAGATACTTTCTTTTGCTCTGGCATAATACTATATTGATTAACTAAGATTATGATTACTGATATGCATTGTGGTAATAATAACGAAACGAAGGATAAATCACCACTAATATTTTCATATTTGATGTATATAGTTATGTTACTTATATATGATTTACGGTTTGCTATAGGAAGAATTGGACATATAAATTAATTGACGGGGTAGGTGACTCTGAATGAATAATAAAGAAGACGACGACCAAAGAGGAAACAGAAAACGAGTGAGAATTTTCAAAGGAAACCACTTTCTGAACCTGACGTCTGACAGGCAATAGGGAAACTACATCATAGTTCTTTTTTCTTAGAATTTTGTAGCAATCAAATATGTAGTAGATAGTTTTTGAAGATATCATATTTTCATTCCATATTTGTTATACGTACTCTGGTCGGCTCAGGTAGGGAGCGAGAGCCACCGAAGTCCAAAATATGAAATGCTCATTTTTTAAATAATTCAAAATATGAAAACAAATTAATTTTATAAAAAAAACAAATATGTATATATATTTATATTCTTGTAAATATTTTCAATTATATTTATCTTTTCTGAAAACCATAAATAAATATTTAATAAACTATTCGAAACAAAATTTGGTCCAAAAATATAATTATAAAGATTAAAGTGATACAAAAAATAAATATTAGTAGAATTATATATAAAATTATATAACTATAGAGACTGAAATGGGAATTAAATAGTGTTTTAAGGTCTTGGATAACAAAACTACAAACTTAAGATTTCACTATTCAATCTTTCATAATTTGGAAGTTTGAAAGATTGTTTGAAAACCAAAAACTTCAAAATTTGAGAATTTAAAAATCTCTTAGAGATCCTCTAATTAACCATCTATTATTAAAATTTTGCCAGGAGAACTTAGGGCATTATTATCACTATGTTTCTTAACTTTTTTTTATTTTTTACATTTTTGTTTTGTCTGTTTAAAAAAAAAAATAGAAAGAGATCAATCGCGGATCGTCATGTGTTGTGGGTCCGCGAAACAATGTAACAAACGCACAAAGAACGTTTCTTATCTGGCGACTTTTGTTATGGGTTTTAACAAATTTGCGGGCCCTCCCCCTTAGAGCATCAACATTGCTCGTCTTTGCTGCGTTCTCGAGTGAGGGGGGAACCACAAATTGCCAAAATCAAAGAAGGATAAAGGGAGAAAGTCGTTAAATAAGGAACGTCTTTGCTGCGTTCTCTGTTCTGTTTGCTGGTCTGCCATTGGTTCATTTAAAAAATACATAAAAAAAAACAAAAAATTTTAAGGAACTTTTGTCCCACCAATACTCTTGCTCTTAAGAACCTTGTTAAAAGACTGAAATAATCTTGCTCTTAGATCATGATAGTTAAAGACATGAAATGATTGATTTGACTAAATCCAAATCAAAGGGGGTGAGATGATTAATTTGACTAAATCTAAATCTTATCTTTTTTTTTTGAGCAAACATAATCTAAATCTTCTCTAAATTCCACAAATTGAATCTTAATAATCAAAGGGTTGAGATGATTAATTTGATTGAATCTAAATCAAATCATATAAAAAAAATTAATAAACCAAATTAAAAACCACAAATAAACTTTGATTATTTAGTTTGATTTATGACTAAGAAAATTAAAGATGTGAAATGTTTACAATGAGCTAAATTGTGGGGAAAAAATTAAACTTTCAACTCCAGTTAAAATAGTTATAATGCTATTATTTTTCTTGTGTTAAAAAAAGCTATTATTTTCTCACATAAAGTAACAAACCACTTAATATCTAGTAGATGAGAAAGCGATAACTGTAACCAAATATTTTTTTCAGAGTATACACGTTCTGAGCCGAAATATTCATCACATTGCTCATAATAGCACGTGAAAGCTATGCGTATTTACAGTGGGATCAAAGAACGAACCATATACCATTTTGTATGTGGTTCAAGATCAGAATTCAGAACTAATATAATACAAAATTAAGAAACTTGATCAGAAGTTAAAAAGAGTTGTACAAATAGAGAATATCCTCTAAACACTGTTTTCTCTCCTCTAAAATCCAATAGTCAATGATCAAGCTTGGGGATCGTCAAGGACTAATATAAACAGTATTAACATACAACATCCGATATTTAACACTTGATCCCATAAAACAGAGTATGCTTTCTGTTCTGTTCCAAAAACCTGATTTCCAGTTGAGCTTTCTCCTAGTAAATGCTGGCTTCTCTTCTGCAGAGATTTTGAACTCTTCAAGATTTGATCTCACCCTCAGGCTACAGTTTGGTTTATGAGTGTCTAGACGCGTCCTCATGCAACTGCGCAGTCCTCACATTAGAATCATCCTGTTACAGTAATGAACATGTGTGTTTCCATGAACAAAGATTGACCAGTAGATACAACAGAAAAAAACAAAAAGAACGATAGATTTTTTATTACAAGTGAAAATTTACCCGCATATCGTAAGAAAAACTGGGAGGACGGAAGAAATCTACTCCCTAGAAAGAACAAAGTAGAGAATAATCAATTTTAAATTGGTATAATTGAACAATGCTCTTGAAAGAGACAAGAATAAGTACCTGTCCATGGATGCCTTGCTGAGCAGTGTAGTAACTGTCGTAACTTGGTGCTATTGAATTCAACTGTCGCTACAGAAAACCAGATGGGGAATTTTTTTATAATCCAAAGTTAATGATAGAAAAACAGCAGAAGCTTAGTTGGGGATTTTGATTTTCATACCAATCCTTGAATTGTTTGTTGATTTCCATAGAAGTTATCACGATTTGGCCCCATTAAGTCTAGCTGGACCTGTAAACACACACATAATCAGACCACACTGCATAACTTATAAGAGAACAATAACATGTGTTTTGTGCATAGTTTACCATATTTTGCATGCTCTGCTGTGTTCCGTAATAACTTTCTATGCCAACTGTCCTTGAGCTCAACTTATCCTGCAAATACAAATTATCAAATTCTTAAGGGACTCCCGTTTAACAGAGGATTTCATACAACATATCAACAAAAGGACAGACCATCTGTTGCAAACTTTCTGGCGCTGCAACTGGCGGCGGCATAGCCTCCTGCTCTGAGTTCACCTGCCAAGACTTCGCCAAGTTAAGAAAAAAAAAAAACTCAAGTTGTATGCAAGCAGAGGTTTTAAAACAAGAAGTTACTTTTCTTTTCTTCGTTGGATTCTTTTTCTTGCTCCCCTTGCCTGCACTTCTGCTCTGGTTATCCTCCTCCACAGAAACCAGACCTTGAGTTGGTGAGCTGACCACATCCGTAAGACTTCTGCCGGAAGTATTAACAACAGCACAGTTTCTGAAAGCCTCTTCAATGGCAAGGAATGCAATGTTATAACTCTCTTGAGAGCATGATGCCTCTTCATTCAGCTTCAACGCTCGCTGGCACAAATCGTTGTACCGTTGCAGCCTAGTCTGAAACTGCTGAGGCTCTCCTGAAGAAAACTGCCGGGTTTTTGCGTCTTTTGTCCACCGTTTCAATATGTACTGCGAGGGGATGGAAGAAAGATGACAACACTGAAGAACATTAAGCGTGTGTCTGCAGAGGTAGCCTCTATACTCAAACAACCGACAGATGCAAGAGACTTCAGCCTTAGCTTGGTTCCATGTCACCACAAACTCCTGGCTGTTTTCAAAATCCTGAACTCTAAAAGTAGAGCATGTTGCATCCCTGTTCTCCTCCCTGGGTGAACAAGCAATTGCACCCAATACTTCAATCTGGAATCTCTTGAACACGGCAGGAGTGTAGACTTCGGAAACACTCTTCTCAAATGGCGACGGAGACTTCAATGTTGGCTGCTTGTTCCACATTTCCGAATCAGCTTTGGCTTCTTCTTCGAATCTATCTTGCAAAATCGTATCATACAGTTTCACGAACTCTTGTACACTAGTCTTCTTGTGCAAGTACTTGTCGAAGAAAGCATTAACACTATCACCTCTTTGAGATGTAGACATCCCTGCCAAAAAAACATCAGTCATGTAACTCGGTGCCCACTTCCTCCGGTCTTCATATAAAGACTGCATCCATTGATCTTCCTTGAGACCGAATTTAGCAAGAATCTTCCACCATCTTCTCGCAAAGTCTTCCTCCTTCCATGATTTATAAATACACTTCTCAAACTTTGCGGTAAAATCTTCATGCTGCTTAGCAACGTGGCCAAGATTCTCAGAGACCTTAATCAACACATGCCAAAGAAAAATGCAATGCCGAGTATTAGGGAAGATCTCAGAAACAACGGAGTTCATTACAACATCTTGCTCAGTGATCAAAACTTTAGGAGCATGTCCCCCCATCGCTTTCAGCCAGGTGTTCATTAACCAAGAGAACGTAGCTGAACTCTCGTCAGATAGTAAAGCACAACCAAGTACCATATACTGATAATGCTGATTCACACCGACAAAAACAGCAAGCGGGGTCTTATACTTGTTTCTCACGTAGGTAGTATCAAGAGAAACAACATCACAGAAACTAACATAGCTCTGCCTGCTCTTCGCATCTACCCAAAACACATTCTTAACTCTCTGATCATCTCCAATATCCACCGAATAAAAGAAGTTTGAACTCAAAACCTGCATCCGTGACAAGAACTCCAGCAAAATCCTAAACTCCCCTGTCTCCACTGACAAACCCCGACCTCCTTTCTCATACAACTCACCTTTTAACCCAACAACAGTTTTATACTCAGCAAACTTCTTAGCCATAGCAGCGTAGACCTTCCTAGCCTGTTCACTCACAGCTTGCGGAGGGACAAGTTCATGATTATGCTCTCTAACAAAGCTATGAATCACCCATTTCCCATTATTACCCCTTCTCTTAACATGCATACTAGCTTTACAATCAGTTTTAGCACAAGTCCTCCTACAACCACCACCCATATTATTATTCTCAGGATGTTCCACCACTTTGCTCTGTCTAGCTTTAGGACGGTTACAAGATTTATTATCATACTCTCTTTTAGTACCGTACCTAGAGCAAGCGAACTTAGCATCAATAAACTCTCTTGTGGTTTTTGATCTACGACTGTTTTGTATCGCAGTGTTGAAACCTATGGCTCGTGAGTATTCTTGGTAGAAGGCGTAGGCTTCGACGTGTGAGTCGAACTCCATGCCGTTTAGTGGCTCAAGGTTAATACTTTCTGTGTAGTTATTAACTAATTCTCCGGTTTGTAACTCCATGGTGGTGGTGACGACGGTGTCTTCTTCCTCGATTTTACTAATGTCTATGTCTTCGTTGTGTAAGACGTTGTTGTTGGTGTTGTTGTTGTCTTCATCAACTTGGTCGCCTGAATGTAGACGGAGATCTATGTCCATTGATAAGCGCTGAAACATTGTTGTTGAGTTTAGGTTTAAAAAGACATTTGTTTCTAAAAAAAAAAAGTGTGTTCGTTATTACATCAAGGCAGGTTTTTTTTATTACAGAATCTAATTATTTCGGAATTGATCGAGACGAGAAGAGGAGTTTCACTGTAAGAAGATGGAGATGGAGTTACCTCGTACGGAGATTGGGGAACACGGTGGAGAATCGGAAGAACTAATCTGAAATCTCGTTGCGAGGAGGAGGAAGGAGGAGGAGGCACGCGCTGATCGGTGCGAGTTGGGGTTTGGATCTGCGAATGATAAGGGAGAAAGAAGAGAGAGAGAGAGAGATGGTGTGTGATGTTCACGCGATCTGAGGAAGCGAGTGGTCGGAGGAGGAGGAGGCACGATTTTTTTTTTTTTTCTAGGGTTTCTCTATGTCCAAAGGGATAGCACCATGTTTGGTGGGTGTGGTGACTATTTATTGGGTTGTGCGGATCTTATTATATAAAGCTTGGATCGCGACACATGGTAAGTTATTAGTTAAGATTGTGACATGTATTAAAAGAAATTGTCCAAAAAAACATATTTTTCCTCTTTAAAATATTTCTACTCTCATAATGCTAATTTTCCATTATTAAAATTTTAACTAAAAAGTTTAAAACGAAAAAAAAAAATCTTATCTTATAATAAAACTTTTTTACAATTATCATTAAAATAAAACGATTTTTAAAAATAAAAGGTGAAAACGAAAAAAAATATTTTCTTATAATAAAACGTTTTTTTAACTTTTGTACAATTATCATTAAGATAAAACGATTTTTAAAAATAAAAAGTTCAAAACGAAAAAAAGAATTTTATTATAATAAAAAGTTTTTTTTATAATTTTTATTAAAATACGATTTTTTAAAATAATTTCTTAAATAAGAAAAATCTTATTATAATAAAACGATTTTTAAAAATTTCAAAGTAATTTTAATTTTAACAAAACCTATTCCAAAACCGAATTGTAATTATCCTTTTCAAAATATAAACCAAAAAAAATGATAAAGACTGTTTTATGCTAATTGTTCTTTACAATTAAGAAAAGATAATCGTAAAAAGAATTATATAAAAATTTTGATTTTCCTTTTTAAAATATTTCTACGCTCATAATTTTAATTTTTCTTTATTGAAATCCTAATTAAAAAGGTCAAAACGAAAAAATATTAGATAGTAATTATCCTTTTAAAAAAACATAAACAGTTTCCTACTCTCATAATAAAAAAGGATAATTTAAAAAACATAGTTTTCCTTTTAAAAATGATTTTTTAAAATACTTTATTAAATAAGAAAAATCTTATTATAATAAAAATTTTTTTAAAAAAAATTCATAGTAATTTTAATTTTAACAAAACCTATTCCAAACCGAATGTAATTATCCTTTTTAAAATATAAACCTAAAAATATGGAAAAACTATTTTATGCTAATTGTCCTTTATAATAAAAAAAAAAGATAATTGTAAAAAAAATATTTTTCCTTTTTAAAATATTTCTACTCTCATAATGTTAATTTTCCTTTATTCAAATCTAATTAAAACTTAAGAAAAAAAGAAATATTAAATAGTCATTATTCTCTTAAAAAAACTTAGACGAAATAAATGTTAAATACTGACTAATGTTAATTTTCCTTTATTAAAATCCTAATTAAAAATATCATAATCCAAGAGGAACTATGATTATTCACATATATAGAACTAAGATCTCTCATATTTGGTCACTTCTCATATTTTATCACCAAGCATAATTATTGATTCAAGAAAAATATAATGTGAAGTTCGATGTTCTTTTCTTCTTATAAAGTTATGGTTGATCGTTGTCATGATTATTGTTTGATCGTTGTCATGCTTCTGAGTTCTGTCTTTTTTTTTTATCGAAACTTCTGAGTTGTCACATAGCAATACATTTAAAGTTATTGCCACCACGCCATAACATCGCTGTCACATAAAAATTTTCTTTTTAATATTCCGACATGTGTAAGAATATTTCATGGATATAATATATATACTATGAAACTAAAAAATGAATTTCTGTAATAATTTTTAAAACAAATAATTTCAAAATTATTTAATGTTAAATATAAATTTCAAAATTATTTAATATTAGTCTTTAAGATAAATTCTTTTTTTTTTAAATCCTAAAGAAACAAATATGTAAAATAATTTTGACTATTAAATATGAAACTTTTAAAAATAATATTCCATTGTAATTTTCTTTTTTTTTAAAATTGTACATGTGTTAAAATATCTCATTTTAAAGAAAATGAAAATTAAAAATTATTTAATACTATTTTCTCTACTTTTTTCTTTAGTAAAAATTCTCCATTTCTATAATTGAAAAATAATTGATAATGAAATTTATAGATTTGCAATGATAATGCCAAGTTGACAATATTGTAAGAATGCTACAAACTGTATTAATCTGACAACGGACAAATCCAATTCTAGACTTTTGGTAATATTATTTGAGTTTCTAATTTGACTGGGCTAGGTTATGGAAAACTAAAACTATTTATGGTTATAATTTTTTTTACTCCTTTTACTTAATTATAATGAAATAAATATCAAAAAAAGAGCAATTAATAAAAACAAAAACATTATTGACTATTTTAAAACATGAAGCAGAAAAATTAAAAATATTGTCAAAATAAGTTCTTAATTCAAAAATGTGTCCCATAATATACACCTAAATTGTAAAATTGATGTAAAAAAATTTCTCATTCTTTTTATGTTTTCATA